CTCTCATTTTTCCTTTTCATATACCCTGTATTTAAGCGACACTGACCTCAAATTTGTTTCTTTAGGGTCCATGCCTTTTTAGGCTTCCTGCCTTTAACCCTTAGAAATCCTTGTCTTCACCATCTCTGCATATGTGTAGTACAAGTCCTAATGAGTAAACTTGATTTACTCCATAAAACCTTCCCTAGTTCCTCCTGCCTCCCTTCCTCCCACTCTTTTGTCAGGTCTTTTCTAACTTAAAGCCCCATGCTTCTGTTATCACCACTGTCTTAGTGAGTGGCTAATTAATACGCTGTTGTGAGAGTTCCTGCAGTGTGTGTGGAAAGTTTTCTCATGGCTTCAGGAATACACAAGAGCTCAAATAATATAAAAATCCATAGTATCCCATTTAAAACAAGCTTCCCATCTTGCTGTATTGCTTAATGAGCCGCTCAGTAGCCATCTTTATATAATAAAAGCACCAAAGGATGGTAATGACTGATGCCCAACAGGTACAGACTAATACTGTGGAGTTTCCACTTGCAACTAAATAAATGCTTGTAAAGTCTAGAGATCCTAAAATGAAAGGCATTTTGTAGATTTAAAATGGGCAAGATCCAACCAGTCTTCTTTATCTTCCTCTAGTCAGCACTAATCCTCCAGGAGAGGCAGGGTGGATGAAAAGGCATTATAGAATCAAGGAAGTGTGGACTGGGGGGGTCTCCAGATTGTCCTAAGGGTCTAGTGGTTTAAGTCTGGAGTAAAGGTAAAATGCCAGGTCCAAAACTTGGAAAGGGTGTGAGGAGATTCTTTCCAGCTGTCTTTAATTAGGAAGACAGCAGGAAGGGCCCGGATTGTTCTTTCTTTTAAATTCACTGAAGGAAAATCGGACACCAGATTCTGTTCTTAGGGATTTCTAAATGAGTATAGAATTCTTTGAACTCTGTAATCAACTAACTGGAAACTAATTTGAAATTTGGCTTCAGCACATATATTTGTGGTTACAGGAGTCGGAGAAGCCTCCACAGTGGTTCTCTGGAGCTCCCTGTACTTCTCTTTTAAAAAGTTTACACACAGCATATGAAATGAACAGATGCTTTTTTTGTTGTTAGAGCTATTCGGGAGACAAGCGGCTGAAAGCTGTATCAGGTATTTATTTCAGTCACTATGATGGCTATTGGCAGAGTTCCACATACCAAAACTAAGGAGAAACTCATGAACAGATAAAAAAAATAAGACACAGAGGAAAGAGACTCTGTCTTCCTCCCTTGATTTCTCTCTAAACACATATTCATGATAAAGAAGAAACAAAGCAATCTTTAACTTCTTTATTTTGGGATGGGTGGGGCATTGGGCAACTTTACATAATCCTTTCTATGAGGTTGTGTTTGCACTTTTGGGAAGTTTTTTTATGATGATGCCCTAACACTTAAGAGAGAGTATGACTTCAATTGAAAAGTAATTTTAATCCAAATTTCACAGTTGCTAAAATGCTCCACTAATTTATTTCTATTATAATCTGAAGCATTGGTGAGAGTGGTGAGTACAAGGTAGATAGGTGTGGGGAAGGAAAAGACCAGAAAAGACTGAATTGATTGGCACCTGACATGGTGAGGAAACAGGAAAGGAATTTCTGCCTGGGAAGTTTGTGATTCCACATCAAATCATTCTTTATAATAGAATAACCACCCACCCTTACTTAGTCCAGAGCCAGAATTCTTCAGATTCTTCTAACCAGAGGGGCCCTGGCACACTAATAGTGTTATGATATCTGAACACTTCAGTGAGTGTATTTGGCCAGAGAGATTTGCTAGTGAAATTGATCTTGCCTTCCCTGAGTTTTTCCAGTTGTACTGAATAATTAAAAGAAAATTAAAATCTGGATTCCCTGAAATGTTAAGTGTCAGATCTGAAAATTGGTCAAGCCCTAGGAACACAGTGTATCAGAATTAGAAGAGACCTTAAAATTTATTCTAAACTGATAGAGGATTTGTACATCTGTTTCCTCGAATCTCTGCCAAGTGATTGCTTGAATTTCTGCTCAAACACCTCCGGAGTCAGGAATGTCATCACTTTAAGGGACACCCCTATTTGAATAGCTGTGAAAAAGCTCTTTTGTTGTTTGAAATCTGCCCTTGGATCTTCATGTGTCAGCTTAAGGATACATCCAGAATAAGCTTCCCTCCTCCCACGTCCCAGTCCTTCAGATACTTCTTGTTGATCATATTGCCTGGAACCTTCTCTAGGTCAAGCATTTTCTGTTCTTTCTGCTGTTTATTCCTCAGAAGACAGAGTTTCTAGTGTTTTGCAGTATAGGGCCAGGAGGACTCAGGATTCCATGGCAGCTCCTTTAAAAGTTTTAGAATTAGCCATAGCCAGTTTGGCTCACCAGTTAAAGCATTGGCCCACAGACCAAAGAGTCGTGGGTTCAATTCCAGTCAAGGGCACATAACTCGGTTGTGGTTGGTCCCCGCCATGCAGGAGGCAACCGGTTGAGGTGTCCCTCTCACGTTGATGTTTCTCTCTCTCTCTCCCCCTCTATCTGAAGATAAATAGAAAAACTATCCTCTGGTGAGGATTATAAAAAAAGAAAAGTTTTAGAATTAAAGAATATTAGAGTTAGAAAGGCAGTCAAGGCACAATCTAGGCTGCATCCCCCTTTCAGTTTACAGATGGGGAAAGAGTCTTTCAGATTTGAGTGGGCTGAATTGATCAACAGCCTCTTTTGAAGTAAGAAATAAAGTGTAAAAACAGTTTGCCACTGAAAGATCTTTTAGTTGTTTAATTCTGAGCACAGGCTTCAGCCCACACCTCATTTTTGCCAAGGACCTCTCTGGCTCCCTAAGGCTCAGCTCAGCGTTTCACGCCAGATCTCCATGCACCAGCTATTGGCTTCATTTACTGTTCACATAAAGGTTAGAAACAACTTTTCCATGAGTTTGACTATATTGACCACACGGTCCAAGAAATTCAGAAATTTTAATAGATGTTTTTTTCTCCTTTCAGAAAATGACCATCACAAAGGGAGCTACATTCCCCTTCAGAAATGTAGCTGCCTCTGGTGGACAGTTTCCTGGGTTTCCCTTTGTATTTTCTTTGTTTAATAGTCACCAGGTAACTTAGCTTTTTGAAAAGCCCAAAGTCTGTGGGTCACCTTTCTATAGCAATTTTGGTCTTGAAACGTGAAAATACAGACACATGCTTTGCAACTGACCCCAAGGAGACTCAGGTTTCCTTGGGTGTATGCAGCAATAAAGGAGCACAGGTGTTTGGGCGTGGGGCACTACTGCTGGCATCTTCATTGCCCTCACCCCTCAGCCGTCTATGGGCAGAGAAATCCTGGTGGGAAAAGGGACCGAGACCTGATGTAAGAAGGGTGAGAGAGAAGGTGCCTAGAGTTTATCCAATAACTTGGTCTCTGAGCGTGACCCAATCCTTCCGACACCCAGAAAGTGCCAGAGTCAAGGCTGGAGTGTTCTTGGGTCTAACAGGGGCCAGCTAAAGGTGACATTGGAGGGGTTCGGACAGCCTTTGGTTGGCATACCTGGAGCCCATAGCGAGGCAGGCAGCCCTCGGCAGCCGGCGCGACCCTGCCGGCAGATGGGGCCCCGAGTGGCCCTTGCCAAAACTGGCTGGCTCGGGGAGGCCAGGCGCCCTTTCTGAGTTCGCTGGCCCTTGGGCTGGGCTCAGAACCCCCGCCGGGTGGGAAGCAGGCAGGGGCCTGGCCAGGGGGAAGAGGGCGGGGCTTTCCTTTGTCAGGGGATTTGCGCCTTATGGCAGAGAGGCAGAGACTCGCAGGGCTCCCCTCCTCGCGCCCTCTCGGGGGGCGGGGCTTTCCCTCCGGCCAGGGGGCGTGGGGCTCGAGGGCCTGCTGAGCCCCGGGCTGGCGCCCGGGTTCCCTCCTCGCAACCTCGCAGAAGCTCCTCCTTCAGTGCCTCGGCCTCCAATAGTCTCCGCCACCCCCTTCTTCTCGGCTCGGGTCGCTCCTTTTCCCTGCCCCCGCCCCGGCTCCGCCTCTGCCCTCCTCCCCTGGGCTCTCCATTTGGTGCTCCCGGGCTTCCAGGGGGGCTGCCCAGGCGGGGTGGCGCGGCAGGAAGGGGGAGGAGAGCAGCCCGCCAGCCCAGCACTTCCTACGAGCGGTGAGCGCGGTGAGCGGTGAGCGCAGCGCGAGGGAGGAGGGCTCGCCCCCGCCCGGCCCGAGTGGAGCCTTTTGTTCCCAGCCAGAAGTTTGCATGCCGGGACCGTGACAGCTGCGGGCGGGCGGGCGGGCGGGGAGGACAGCGGGCCGGTGGTGGTGGCGGCGGCGGCGGCAGTGGTGGCGGAGAATAGAGGCGGCTGCTTGACATGCAGCCCACGGCGCCGCGGCTGCGGGCCGGGGACTGGCGACGGCGGGGGAGGCGGCACCCACAGCACGCGGGACTCAGCAGCCGGAGGGACAAACTAACTTCCTGAGCGTGGACCGGAGGCCCGCGCGGCCCGGAGCCACCTGCCAGCCTGCGGTGAGGCGACCCTGGCCTTCGGGATGTGCGGCATGGCGCAGGGGAGTGGGCCGCGCTGAGCGAGCCCTTCCGACAGACCCTCTGCGGCTGCTGCATTCTGCCGGCCTCTCAGAGGCCCGGCGCCCGGCTCCACTCGCCTTGTTTTGCAGCCACAGCGCAGGGCTGTTCTGGGAGCCACAACAATGCCATGATGTTTTGGAGACAGGAAGCACCAAACTGGCCCCGAATGAAGGACTTCCTGTGTTTAAAGTTACAGGAATATCCGCTGACCAGCCCAGTTCAAATACAAACACCCGAACTAGGGAGGACCAATGGCTAATTCAGACCAGCTGGACTCTCCAGGGGTGGAACTGAGGATAAAATGAGAGGAATTCTTAGGAGCTTGGGCCATACATGAAGACTAGAGAGCCTGTGCCATTGTTAAAGGACACAATCGGTACAAATCCTCCGCTGTTAACTCTGCTTGGATGAGAAGTGAGTGGAACTAGATATTGAATAAGACTTGTCAATATCAGATGATTTTTTATTGATTAAATTAGAGCAGTGCTCTTTAAAAAGAATTTTTTTTAAAGCCATACAAGGAATTGTTTTGTTTGTTGGTTAAATTATACCACTTATCTACAACTATGAGGCTGCTAGCCTGTGAGGAAAAAGCTGTTCCTAGAGCTTCTCCCAGAATAGGTTCAAAGTGGGGCTTCCAGCCTTTCTGGAGGGCAAATCCAGTTGGTGGTTTGGGATTATGAATATGTAAAGAGATTTTTAACTTACACAGAATGCATTTTTGGGGAACTCATGAAAAACTTTTAAAAGGTTGATGGTTCATTTAGATTGAAAAATTATGGGTAAGCCACTCAGCAGGCCAGACTGTTTAAGGCAGAACCCCACCTGCCTGGGGAAGGGAGAGGAAGAGGATGGCTATATAGAGGACTGCTATGTTCCACAGCGGTCTATATATGATACAATGAGGATAAATGAACAAATTGACCAAGGGTCAAAGCTTAATCAGACTTCAAAAAGCACCATGGAAAAGATGGAAGGAAGTACTATGTCCAGCAATGGTACGTTAGGAGCAGCAGCTAATGTTTTTGAGTCTAGAGCACCAGAAGGCAAAAAGCTGGATGAGAGAATAATATTTGATGCACTGAAACTAAGCAGTGATGTGCAGAAGTTGGCACCTGTGCCGCCCAGAAGGCGACCAAATACAGAACGCAAAGACAATGTTAACAGGAGATCATGGAAGTCCTTCATGCCACCCAATTTCCCAGAATTTGCAGAAAGAATGGAAGCTTCTCTCAGTGAGGTTTCAGAAGCTGGTGCTTCAAATCCTTCCTTGCAAGAAAAGAAGGAATCCAGTTCTGCATTAACAGAAAGTTCTGGTCATTTGGACAACAGGGAACCTCAGTTAGAGTCAGTAACTCTGGAACATGTGTCCAAATCCATAGGTATTCCAGAAGTGCAGGATATGAAAAACTTAAGTGGAGACTGCCAAGACTTCATATTTCAGCAGCACAGTGAGAGCTCTCCTAATGAATTCCAGCCTCTAGAATCAGAAGCTGCAGCAGCAAGTGGTAACACAGATGTAATGCAGGAACACAGATTCTCAAGTGCAACCTGGCCCAGAGCCATGAAAAGTTTGGCTAAGGGAGGCTTCAGTGAGAAGCAGCACCCCCTTGGGGACGCAGCTTGCACTGTGGAAATGCCACCTCTCTCCCCTTGCCTGAGTGAAGAGCTGTTGGATCCAGAATTGCATGTTCTCATAACCCCCAGCCTGAGAGAGAAAACGGAGTCTGAACTAAAGTTTGAGGAGGATGAGCGATGGATTATGATGGAGGCTGAGGAGGAATGGGAGAAACTGTCAGAGAGAGAAAAGACTTTTCTAATGGCAGATGAGAAAAAGAACAGCCTGACAGATATTTTTGAAGACAGAGAACAAGCAAACACTGGAGCAGTGGTGGAGGATGGGTCTGATTGCTCAGCTGCTATCTTGGAGAATTTTGACCCCCTAGCTCTTGGTCAGATTTGCTGCTCTGATGACCTACAGCCACCTGAGAACCACTTGGCTTCTGTTCTCACGGATACACCTCTTGATTACAGTTGTATTCTCATAGGTGAGAATGATATAGGTAAGCTGAAAAACAGAACTTCCCAGGAGCTGGAGGACCTTATTTCCGATTTAGAATACACTGTTGGTCCTGTCAATTCAGAGCAGCTCTCTGACACAGATTCAGTGCAGATGTTTCTTGAACTTGAAAAAGAATGTTTATGTGAAGAAGGAGGAACCCCTCTAGTTGAGCTGGAGAACCAAGCTTCTTCTGAAGGGCTGGCCCCACCCCAGGATACAGAAAATTCACTTGTAATTAGTCACTTTTCAGGGGCTGCCTTAGAAAAGGAACACATTAGCATTTTAAATGTAAGGGTGAAAGACGATGATACTGGATTGGATTGTGAATATTTTAATGCCCTGGATTCTTCTCAGGTGCCTAATGCTGTGGAACTTATTGCCCTTTCTGATAACATGAGGGACACTTCCACTGTTAGTGAGAAGTGTGAAAAAGTGCCTTTTAGCCCCAAGACTGCAGGGGAATTTAGGTTCAGACACCCCGCTGATCTGGAGTCACCAGGAAAGCTGGGCCCAGGAGGATTGCCCAACTCTGACTGCAGGGTTTCTCATGAAGAAAATTTATCAGCCTTTGAAGCTGAACTGGCCAAAGAAAATGGCTGTTTGTTCCAGGTAGACTGCAGTCAAATTGAGGGGAATGTTGAGAGGGTCCCCCTCGGTTCTGCTTTTAGCTATGAACTAGCAGATATTACCTCAGGATCTGAAGTAGAGGTGTTATCATGTGGTTCACATTTACCAACAGATGAGATTCATTTGGAAAGTGAGAAAGGAGCTGTTAATCAAGAAAATAGTCTGACTTCCTTGGGAACTGTGGAACCTTGTGAATTGTCCACAGAGAAAGTTTATGATGAGTCACAAGAGCTGGGTTATGAAGCCCAGCTTTTGGAGGACCAAGCCCAAGCACATTTTTATGGAGACTTCCCAGAGCAGGTCTTCCAGGATCTCCAGAGAAAGTCCCCAGAGTCAGAGATTCTGAGTCTGCACCTGCTGGATGGAGGACAGAGACATAACAGTGATGGAGAAGGTACTGTGAATGACATAAAGTCCAAGCTGAATGTGGCATCACTGAGTGAAGATGAGACAGAAATGAGAGATTCAGAGTCATTGCTGAATATCTTTCTGGGGGAACAAATTACCAAGGCTAGTAATACCGAACCAGTTTTGGAGGAATGGATACCCATCCGAGAGAAACCTGCCCCAACTGCTGCAGTGTCCACTATAGAAGATGCCCTAGATGCTGCAGTGCTTGCCCCAGAGGGAACTGCTGTAGCTGCTGTCACAGTGCCCTTTCCAGATGAGGACATGCCAGTTGCTTCAGTGGCCACCATTGAGGCACATGTCCCAGCTCTTGCAGTGCCTGCTTCTGAGGGGACTGCTCCAGCTGCTGCAGTACCCACCACAGGGGAGGACATCCCAGAGGGCTCTGTCACCCCAGCTGCTGTAGTGCCTGCTCCAGAGGAGCCTGTTACCCCAGCTGTTATAGTGCTCACCCCAAAGGAGTGCACAGCTCCAGCTGCTGCTGTGCCCACCCCAGAGGAGCCTGCAGCCCCAATTGCTGCTGTGCCCACCCCAGAGGAGCCTGCAGCCCCAACTGCTGCCGTGCCCACCTCAGAGGAACCTGCAGTCCCAACTGCTGCAGTGCCCACCTCAAAGGAACCTGCAGCCCCAGCTGCTGCTGTGCCCACCCCAGAGGAGCCTGCCGCCCCAACTGCTGCAGTGCCTACCCTAGAGGAAGCTGCAGCCCTAACTGCTGCAATGCCCACCCCAGAGGAAGCTGCAGCCCTAGCTGTTGCTGTGCCCACCCCAGAGGAGCCTGCTGCCCCAACTGCTGCAGTGCCTACCCCAGAGGAAGCTGCAGCCCTAACTGCTGCAGTGCCCACCCCAGAGGAAGCTGCAGTCCCAGCTGCTGCTGTGCCTACCTCAGAGGAGCCTGTAGCCCCAACTGCTACAATGCCCACCCCAGAGGAACCTGCAGCCCCAACTGCTGCAATGCCCATCCCAGAGGAACCTACAGCCCCGGCTGCTGCTGTGCCCACCCCAGAAGAGCCTACATCTTCAGCTGATAGAGTGCCCACCCCACAGGAGTCTGCCACTGCAGCTGCTGCAATGCCCACCCCAGAGGAAACTGCAGCCCCAGCTGCTTCAGTGCCCTCCCCAGAGGAAACTACAACCCCAGCTGCTGCAGTGCCCTCCCCAGAGGAACCTGCATCCCCAGCTGCTGCAGTGCGCACCCCAGAGGAACATGCAGGCTCAGTTGCTGGAGTGCCCACCCCAGAGGAACTTGCAACCCCAGCTGCTGCAGTGCCCACCTTAGAAGAACCTGCCACCACAGCTGATAGAGTGCCCACCTCTGAGGAGCCTCCCACTCCAGCTGCTGCAGTGCCTGCTGTGGAAGAAGTGTTCCTTGCTGGTGTGCACTTCCTGGGAGATACTGTCCACACTGATTCAGTGCCTATCTCAGAAGAAGGAACTCCTGTTCTAGAGGATTCTTCCTCCACTGGAATGTGGATCAAGGAGGACCTTGATTCTCCAGCATTTGGAATAAAAGAGGTGACTGGCACAGTGCTGCATGGGAAAGTGCCTCTGGCTGCAAGTGATGGATTAAATTCAAATGAGGTAATTGTTGCTCATTTTGTTAGGGAAGAATCTAGAGAGTAAAGTGAAATTTGCAAGTTCTCTGACTCGGTGGTAATTAGAAAGGGCACAGATAGTTCTTTCTTTGGACTTCTTTGGGGGCTCCTGGATTTTTCTGGTCTTTTTATTGAGTTTATGAGGGAAAATATGTCTTACTTTCATTTGGCAAAACTTTATAATTCGTATTAAATTTTTTTATTCAGAGATAGCAAAAACCTAAGGAAGACAAGGATGTACACAGTTGTTGGTTTACATTTTGAAAAAGATTATTAGCAGGAATGGGTGATTCTGCTTTTGACATAACCATAGGCATGTTCTTTGCTAAGTCAAGAGGCTGCTAATTGATCAGTGATGTCAGGCTAGAGTGTAGGCTTTTGGAGTGAGACCTTAACCACTCTGGGAAAATTAATTAGATGTCATGAGTCTTCAGTTTCATCATTTGTTAAGGTAGAACTCTGAAGAGTGTGAGGATAAAATGTGATAACTTATTTAAAGTATCAAGTACATAAGATTTCAGTCACTGTTGATATCCTTCCCTTTTCTCTTTAAAAAAATAGATACGTTGGTTAGTTGAAAGAATTCACCAAAACATGTTGTGTTAAAGCAATATACAGGTGTAAATTATAGCTTTTTAATACAAAAAGCTATTAAAGCCAGAAAAAGTCATAATAATGTTTTTGAAAAAGAGATATTACAGTCATCTTGTCAAACTTCATGTCTTGAAGCAAGTTACTTTCCTTCCCTGTGCTTCTTGTTTCTTAATCTATAAAATAAGGAAGTTGAGCTAAACGTTCTCCTGGGTCTCCCTTAAGTCCAAGATTTTGAAATTCGTAATGTTAGAGAACAGACTGTGTTAGGAACAGTGTTCACATCCTTGAGCACTCCTAGTCAAAGGAACTTGAGATGGTCAGATTTACAGTTCATTGCTCCGGTGTCATTTGGTCAGTGGTAAGCAGTGGATTGAAGGAGTTAGAAGTTTAGTCTAATCTAATAACAGTCAGGGGTTACTGAGTGTGGAGATGGGTTTTTTTTTCTTTTATCCTCACCCGAGGACGTTTTTGCATTTATCTTCAAATAGAGCGGGAAGGAGAGAGGGAGGAAGAGAGAGAAAACATCGACATTAGAGAGACACATCGAGTGGTTGCCACCCACACAACCCCAACTGGGACTAGGGACAAACTGCAACCAAGGTACATACCCCTAGCGGGAACCGAACCCGGGCCTCTCTGGTCTGTGGGCCGACGCTCTAACCACTGAGCAAAACCGGCCAGGGCTGGAGGTGGTTTTGATTTTATACCATCCTCAGGACCCAAAATAGTACTTTTCTTATAGTAGGCTTTCACTGTTGACTGGCTGACTAAATGAGTATCAATCTCCTGAATATCTGTGGATGCTACAAGAAAGATGGGTTTTGCCCTGGCCGGTAGCTCAGTTGGTTAGAATGTTGTCCCAATACACCAAGGTTGCAGGTTCAATCCCCAGTCAGGGCACATACAAGAATCAACCAATGAATGCATAAATAACTGGAACAACAAGTCAATGTTTCTCTCTCTCTCTCTCTCTCCTTCTCTCCCTCTCTGTCCACCCTCCCCAGCCAAATTCAGTAAGTAAAAGAAGAAAAAGAAAGATGGGTTGTTCTCTCATCCACCCCTTGCAGAGCCTTTCAGGGCAGCCTTAGCTGGCTAAAGTATCATTTAAACATGCAACTACTAGCAATGAAAAATCACTTTGACAGTGGGCTACAGATCTTCCTGAGTGGTAGTGGTGTCATCTTGGGCTTCACCTGTTATTTTGTAATGCGTCATCCCATCAAATTAGAATGCATCACCTTTCAGGTAGATGGATATGATTCAGTTTTTAGAGTTTTAGAGTATTTGGGATTAACACCAAGATCCCAGTAATCTGTCCAAAGCCACTGGCATTATTAATTATACAGACTGTTTCCAGTGTAAAGCCTACAGCAATCATCAGTGACATACAGAAATTAAATTTATAAGAAGCCAATCAAATCTGCAGAAAGTAAAAAATTCATGGAAACCTTTAATCAGTCTCTGGGATCTTTGTTTCCTCATCTACAAAATGAGTAGATGAAGCTAGGTAATCTCTAAGGATCTTTCCAGCTATAGTAGGTAGTCATTTTATGACACAGTACCTATTATAAATGATAGGAGAAGGAAATAGTAGCCCAGCTTTCAAGGTAGTTCATCACCTGTGAAGTGTAGTTACTTTATGGAGTATCTGGAAGCAGGATGCCACATCTGTGTACAAAAAGAGAAATCTAATTCATAGCCAAAGCCAGGACTGTTAACCAATAAGAATGTAGAGAAGCTATTTTGAAATATTTATTGAAACAAAACAAATACCATTATAGAGATAACATGAGCATACAGATTTTGCTAAATTGATGAAAAAATTTTTTTCCAAGATGAGAACTGTATGGATTTCATTTCTTCCAAAAAGATTTCTAGAGGCAATTTGAACCTGCCATTTTTATACATAAACACTTAGAACTTGACAAGCGATTATACCCGGAATGTGATTTAGAATGAACTGCTTTAGATCCTCTGTGTATGTATGTATGTACAAATGTACAAATGCATGTATACATGGTAAATAGATGAAAGTTTTCTAATAGCAATAATGAGAGTTTGGTAGAAGAAGCAAAATGTCAGAATTTGCTATTTCTATAGTGGGATGTAGGCCCACTGAAAGCAATCTATGGTTATTGAAATGCTCTTTTCATTTATAGACTTCCTTAGTCTTATTTTTAATCACTGGGGAGGAAAAAAAAACCTTTTGTATAAAATAGGGGTTCTATAAAATTCAAATTTGCCCAAAAAGCCTTTATGCAAAAATCGGAGAGCCCCAGACTCTCAGTTCCGTGTTTGAATGCTTGGTTGATTAGCAGAACCTTCATGGACTTGTTTGTTTTTCCTAACACTATCTCTATACAATTGTTTATTCAATAGATAAATATTTATTGCATACCTACTCTGTGCCAGGTACTGGGGCTCCTGCAGTGAATAGAATTGGCATGGTCCCTGCCTTTGTGGAACTTATACTATAATGAGGGAGACAGACATTAAGCAAAAATGACACAAATATATAACTACAGATTACAGCAAATGCTTTGAATAAAAACATAAAGACTGTGATAAGAAATAAAAGGGGTATTTAATTTCATTTGTGCCGTCAGGGAAAGGGTTTCAAAACTGAAACCTGGTGGATAAATAGAAGTTACTCGGCCCTGGCCAGTTTGGCTCAGTCATTAGAGTGTCGGCCCACGGACCAAAGAGTCTCGGGTTCAATTCCAGTCAAAGGCACGTACCTTGGTTACAGTTTGATCCCCAGCACTGGTTGGGGTCATGCGGGAGGCAACCAATCTGTGTGTCTCTCATGTCGATGTTATTCTCTCCCTTCTTCCCTCCATATTATGGAAAAATATTCTCAGGTGAGGATTAAAAAATAAAATAAAAAATAGAAGTTACTTAGGCAGAGAGTCAGGGGGAAGAGCATCCCAGACAAAGGAAATGGAAAACTGAGAAGAACTTGCATGTTAGAACTAAAAAGCCAAGTGGCTAGACCACAGTGACCAAGGGTTCTGGAAGAGTGCCTTGAAGTGATTCTAGAGAAGTTGGCAGGGGCCAGATGATGGAGGGACTGAGAAAGACATCCTCAAAAGCATCTGTACCTTAAAAACCATGAGAGGCTATTGAAAGATTTTAAGTAGGGGAGTGAGATGATTCCATATACATTTTTTAAAGATTACTTTCAGCTTAAAGATAGAGAAACCTGGTTCACACTGATGTAAACATTCTTAACATTATTTGGGGTTTATAAATCTCAGATTTCTTTTATCTTATATTTTATTAGTTTGTATTCAAATAGATAATGACATAAATACAGAAAACACTGAATGGTTTGCAATTTTTTATTTCTTCAATTACACTGGCACCCTGCGCAGTTTGGCTCGGCAGTTGGAGCATCGGCCCTCCGACCAAAGCGTCTTGGGTTCAATTTTTGGTCAAGGGCACGTACCTGGGTTGCAGGTTTGATTCTGGCCCCAGTCAGGGTCGTATGGGAGGCCCCAGTCAGGGTCGTATGGGATGTGTCTCTCTCAAATCAATGTCTCTCTCTCTCTTCCTCCCTCCATTCCACTCTATCTAAAAATCAATGGGAAAATATCCTCAGGTGAGGATTAACAAAACAAAACAAAACAAAAATTACACTGGCTACTGTGTGTAGAATGGATTTAGAAAATCAAGGGCAGAGTCCAGTGGCCTGCTAAGCTACTGCAATTATCTAGGTTGCTTGGACTGGAGAGATGTAAGTAGATTTTAAGACAGTTGGATGTATTCAAGATCTATTTTGGAGGTAGAATCAACAAGACCTGATGATGGCTTTTATGTTAGGAGGAGGGGAGAGGAGATATCAAGGATGGCTTCTAGGTTCTACTTTGTACAACTGAGAGGATGGGGACAGTAGTAAATTGTTGATTTAGGGAAGAACAGATTTGGGAGGAGAGGAAAGTAGGAAGTACTGCTCAATTTTGGGATGGTTAGGTTCGAGATGCCTGTGATTTCATTTGTATAGCAATATTAAGAAAGTAGTTGGATATATAGTTTTAAAGTCATAAGCATTTATCATGGTTAACATTTAAAGCCATAGGAATGGGCCCTGGCCAGTTTGGCTCAGTGGTTAGAGTGTCGGCCCATGGACCAGAGAGTCCCGGGTTCGGTTCCCACTAAGGGCATGCACCTCGGTTGCATTTTGTCCTTGGCCCCGGTCGGGGTTGTGTGGGTGGCAACCAGTCAATGTGTTTCTCTCATGTCAATGTTTCTCTCTCTCTCTCTCCTCCCTCTCTTCCTCCTGCTCTATCTGAAGATAAATGCAAAAATGTCCTTGGGTGAGGATAAAAAATAATAATAATAATAATTAAAATAAATAAATAAATAAAGCCATAGGAATGGATAGAATTGCCAAGAGAGTATAGAATGAGAAGAGGGCCCAGGACTGACATTCTG